TTTAACCATCTGTTTACGTACCTGAAAAACAATCTGTACTCATTTCCATTTATGAAATGTCTTTCAACATACACTTGGTGTGTTTTGAAGGGACAAATACGTTGGGGTCGGACGGAGCGTGTTTCAGATTATATAGACTTTTAACTAAATCTATCTTTACCAATTATGGATGGGTTGAGTGAAAGTCCAACAAATGTTAGCATCTAACCCACCGTGTTGTTTTCGTTTTATTCTACAGTCTGACATGGCCAAATCATTTTTTATTGGACACTAGTCAGTAACTAGTGTAATGTGTGTTTCTAGTCCTATCTTTGGTGCACACTGAATTCTGTTAGTCAAGTTTGCAATATGGCCACCATGCTAGGTTGCTCGCCATTAGATGGTTGGACGCAATCGGCAGGAAGCCTTGTACCCAGGTTTCGTGCTAGTTGGTACTCATCTGCACCAAACAAAAGACAAGACACACTACACTATTTACTGACTAGTGTTCAATCAACAATATCCAATACAGTCCTACAGGAACTCAATCGCCAGCCCGAATAGCTCAGTGGTAACGTCTCTGACTGCAGCACTAGGTTACAAGGGTTTATGGTCTCAGGCGGGACACGAGTTCCTTCAAGGCTGCAGATGCGCCTTGCTGACTGGTGAGTGCCAACTAACACAAAACCTAGGTCGAAGGCTTCCTGTGTCCGATTGCCTCCAACCATCTAATATAGCTAACTCACCCTGTTCGTTTTCTAACTTAGAAGTGAATTGGATTCCGCCTACCATTGACTTTGTATATGTAAAAAACGGAGGGATATGTTTAGATTTCAAAACAGTTCATGTGTCATTCACATATCTCCATATCCATAACTTAGGAGCAGGATTAAACGTTCTAAGAGCTTTACGTTCCCAACTGTTCATAAATATGTCTGCTACTATTGGGGATATTGGTGGTCCCATTGCCACCCCATTCATTTGTTTATAAAGTTTATTTTGAAATTTGAATACAGCGGAGGTTAGACATAACTGAACATCCAATAAATTTGATCAACCGAGAGCTTAGTCTTGTTTTTGAGTTCAGGATCAATGTCCAGTTCATTCCTAACTGCCTCCAGAGCTATATTAATTGGAATATTGGTGTACAAACTGGCTACATACATAAAAAAAATCATTTTTCCATCTTTTTCTAAATGCATCTCCTTTAGTTTCTATTCCATTACGTAAGAATTTGTTAGCCTAGAATCTGGCATAATATTGATGCTAAATATTTAGATAACTCGTACGTCGGAGTGTTCCTGAAGTCAACTATCGGCCTAATATGATAACCTGCTTTGGACTTCGTAGATGTTTTATGTCTAATGTCACACAAACTCGAAGAACTACAGGCGAAAACCAGCAAGCTGGCAGAAGAATCAGCAAAGACAGGACTTTAAATGAACTTAGAGAAGAAGAGAAGTGATGAAGATAACCAACCAACAACAACAACAACCAACGCCAATCACCATCAACAGGAGAAATCTACAGGAAGTTGCCTATAACACTTATCTAGACAGTATCCTTTCAAGGATGAGAGTGTCAATGCCAGCCAGGATCAGAAGAGCAAGACAGATCTTCACTAATGTGAAAATCAACTGCACATAACATAAAGAACAAGAACCAAGTTTCCAACATTAATATGGAGTTAGTGTTTTTATATAATTCAGAGACTTGCAATCCGCTTCACCAAAAAACATTTCCAACAGACTACCGCAGACTTTTATCAACAACTGTCTTCATTCCCTCGACACTGATGATAAAATTACCTGCCATTCGGGAAGGATAAGCAACAAGGAATTCTAGCAACCAGCCAAGTACCTGTCGCATAACAAATATATCGAAGGGAAAGGAGATGGACTGGGCACATGCTGAGGAGACAAGTGTGTGGAGTCCTAAATGATAAATCTGTGCAGTTTTTTGTTAAATGTTAAAAATAGAAACATTGTACAAAACTTTTGTTTAGAACGATCCATTGTAAATCATACTTAACTTTAGAGTAGTCTAAAATACAGAGTGCTGCTCTTCGCTTATTCTTCTCACTGGTCCATACTGTCTACTTGTTTCAATACTAACCGTGTTGTATCCCTTTGGAATTTGCAGGAACCTCTTATCATCATCCGAAGACTATTCTCCAACCGGTGCACAGCTTCTTTTAGTAGATACGACTCCAGTAGTGAACACTTCTGTGGATTATATCAATAATTTGCAGCAGATGTAATTGAACTGTATCACCAAGTAACCATTAATTTATATTACTCGTTAAGTGTACTGTTATAGTATTCTTTCACTAATTTGGACTTTTATTCTAATAATAATAATAGTATAACTCTCTGTTAAGTCCCCTACAAGTGACATCACACACAAGGCAAGCCCTCGAATGGAATCCTAAGAAGAAACGACGATTTAAGCCTTCGTGGATGCTAGGTGGAGATGAGAGCTTATAGGCGATCGTGAAGCCGGCTAGAAATGACTGAAGAGGACACGAGGAGGTGAATACGTACTCTTGTGATAGTTCTGTGGTGAGAGCTGGCTGCTAGCCAAAGTTGGTAGACAGTAATTGACGTCAGTGTTTATGTCCCCAATATTGGTGGTGAGAAAATGAGAACAAAGGTTTTGCGTAGGCGGATGCAGTTAGCATATGGATGATCTGACACAGTCACAAAGAGATGCAAGGTTAACTTTCTGTGAAAAACAACCAGTCAAAAGAATATACTTTCTACTAACAATAATCTACAATAATGTACATTAAAATCTATAAATATGTGTTGATTTTCCTTAATAAACGATCTGTTGCCTGGCCCTTGTCTACTGTTGTTACAGTTCAAACTGCCACACTACATGAAGCACACCATGACACAACCAACAGCCAAAATAAGTCATATAGAAGCGACATAAGAATAGAATTTGGGCACTGCAGTAAAGTACAATTCTATCGCTGAGTAAAAAGCACAACTTCTTGCTCATACTCACACGAGCTTCTAAAATCGTAATAGCAATTGGTAATGTTTTCCCTAATTCTGGTATCGATGTTGCGTCATACTTACTTAACGTGTTAGATGTAGACTCGATGAAAAAAGATTCCGTGATCAACCTCTTCCTCCATCTACCTATATTAAATTTTAGAGCTGTAGCTCTATCCCCCTCTTTTCGGTGTCAATGCATGCATTGCGATTGTTGAGTTTTTCTCCTAACCATTCATCTTTGTGAGGTCAGTCATTCTATACTTAGCTGAATTCTTATGTTCCAATAATCTGACTACTCCCCACCTACTCATCTGACCTATGTAGTTGGCCTTACAGTCATTACAAGGTAGTTTTTAGACTACATTATTTCGTCTACAACTGAATTCTTTAGCCTACAGAGCTTGTCTTTGAGTGAATTCGTAAGTTTAAATGCCACTCTAATTCCTGCTTTGTTGAGAATCTTACGGTTTCGGGTGCCTCTTCCTTCACATAGAAATGTCTGACTACTGACACCGGAAATACTTAATTACAATTTTTTTTGATGCAAAATAAACAGAAGATATGATGCCAGTTGGATCGATCCTCAAGGTCTCATTACTTCAACTGCTTGTTTTAAGATTGGAATACTGAATTAATTTCAACTAGGCACTTTCACTTTTAATAACACAATAACTTATGTTTCCCTGCTGTTCTCTAAACAGTTGCTTGTCCTTTTTTATGTATTGTCATTCCGTTCAGTTATCTAGGCAGCCTCATTCCAACTAAAGGAAGTGGCACGGAGAAAAATGTCAATGCCAATCAGGATCAGAAGAGCAAGATAGACCTTAATTAATTTGAGGTCAATGTGGAAGTTCGCTGCACTCAGCATAGAGAAAAAAAGTCGGGTTTTCAACACCAATGTGAAGTCAGTGCGCTTCTGTGTGGTTCGGAGACATGGTAGCTAAAAGAAAAGGTTTCCAACAGGCTGCAGCAGATTTTTATCAATAGCTGTCTTCACTCCATTCTTTACAGTGAGAAGACCGCCTAGGTAAGATAAACACCCCCAATGAACTCTGACAAGCTACAAATCAACCAAGAATCTACTAACCAACAAGTATACCGAAGAAAATGGAGACGGATTGGACGCACACTGAGTGATATCACCAGCACCAGGTTCTCTGGTGGTACCCGAATGGGAAACAACAAGTTGGACGTGAAAGCTTGTGGACAATGAAGGAACCAGCTAACGCGGACTGCAGAGAACAGGATGAAGTGGAAATATAATTTTGAAGCCCTATTTTCCGCCAGTACTTGATTCAACTGATTCCAAGGAGTCCCTTTGCTTATTACTTAGTGAACTAAATAACTAACCTTCCCTCAGAGGAAAAGGCTAACTGTTTTTGATCATAGATGTCTACGATCTCTTTCCCACGTTAAGTGGTATAATAAGGTAAGTAATGTTGACGTTAGGCGTAGAGTATTGGGCAAGGAGGGAAAATCAATCGACGAGGCTATAAAGTTACATAGATTGAGATGGCTGGGTCACGTGCTGCGCATGCCTAACCATCGCCTCCACCGACGGGTATTACTAGCTGATATAGGTACTGGTTAGAAAAGAGTAAGTGGTGGCCAAACAAAAACATGGCATCAATCCATGAAATCCTTGACAGTTAAACTGAGTCAGGTAGGGAGGGAGATGCAGACTTCCGGGTTAGGGCCCGCCCTCGGGACTCTAAGAATCAATGGCTGGAGACGGACAATAGGTGACATGGCTCAAAATCGTTGTCAATGGCTTACGCAGATGTATTCAGTCTCTTGTGCAATCTTTCATATTCCTTTCTACCATTACTCATTCTGTTTCACTCTTATACTTGTCAAAACTCTATTGATTCTCTTCACTCATCTTCTTGTCTACCTTTGTGTGCTCTTTGGAACGTGGCAACTCGAACTGCTGCACTTCGGTGCCAAGTTCTATGTTGAATCCAGGACAGACAGAGACCTCAGAGGAGCAAAACAGTTAAAAAAAACAACTAAAAGTGAATAAAGTCAAGAAATACAGTCATCTTTTATTTCAGCAACACGTTTATGCGCTAAATACAAAAATGCAATACTACACATAGCACTGATAAGAAAGATCACTTCAAACCAACGATGATAAAAGTGAAACTGTAAGTCACCGAGTACTTGATTCAGCATATTTCTATACTCTGCAGTCATATTCATACGCAGCAGCAATACAGACGAGATAAAATATGTACCCATCACCTGTGCAATAAACAGTACAATGATATTTGATGACTTGGTACTGGCAATAGCATGAAAAAATTTTGTCAGCGTGATTAACAACCCGCGAATCGATGTGACAACAATGATACCGACAAGCCAAAAAGAGATTTGTTGTGACCAAAATTTCACATCAATTTGAAAGCCTAAATAGTGTACAGCTATACCCATAAAACGTGTTATGGGATCTTGTCCACCGAATCGATTCAACAGAATATTTACAATAGATATGAATATTTTCCAACAACAATAACCACAGAAAAAGTAGCCAAGGCAGTTGAAGTATCTGCCTTTCCAGGTTTTTGAGAATTCCACGCGTTCTTGAGCAGTTCGAAGATAATGTAATTCAAGGAATAATTGACGACTAAGATCCTCTAGAACAGATATCTACATTAAAAGATAGAGAGAGACAGATAGAGAGAAACAAGATTGTGAATAGCAGCATGACATCAAGGATAACAATATTCAGAAGTAATTTCGTGCCAAATAATCTTTGGTGAGGTTGGACTGATAGTTCAAGGGGGAAAATTTACCTATTTTGTAGGTGATTAAAGCCACAAAAGCATGAAACAAATAAACAGGACAAGGCTTATCTCTATTTTTATAAGTGTGACAAACTCTGACTACATATCTGCCTAGTTCGATGGAAGATATGAAAGGGCTAGGTGACACTGACCACAAATTTTGTATTCTATCTTCCTTGGTAAGTGGTTAACTATGGTGAGCAATATTGAAGTTAGGCAAGCAGGCTAAATTAATTGATGGGGTTGTGAAGCTATATCGATTGCTTGAGATAGCTAGGATGCGTGTCACCTATGCCAAGCCATCGCCTTCCCCAACGAGCACTGTTAGCTGACATAGGATTAGATGGGGAAAGAGTTAGGGGTGGTCAAACCTAAACCTGTCATCCATCCATGAAGTGTTTGACAGTTGGGTAAAGCCAGCCACGTAGGGAGGTGAAGACTGCCTGGTTGAGGACCTCGCGATGCTAAGAACCAATGGCTGGAGACTATTAGTGAAATGACTGGAAATCCTTCTCAATAGTGCAGATCCATTCACTTTTTGTGATCTTTGATGTTCAGAAAACTGTCATTTTTCCCCATTCTTTCCCCTGCAAGTGCTTATTATATTTGTCTACCTTAGTGTGCTACATGGGGGTGGGGTGGGTGACAAGTTGAACTACTGCACTTTTGTGCAAAGTTCTACGCTGAGACTCAGTCAGTCAGTTCATTAAATATGCATAGCTTAAGCAGTCAATAAAGTCCACAACAGTTAGTTCAAGCCAGCCAGTCATGTAGGAAGGTGTAGACTTCCTGAGTGGTTGGGGTCCTTGGGACGGTAAAAACCAATGAAGGCTGGAGACAATCGGTGATATGGCTCAAAATCGTTCTCAATGACAGCGCAGATGCATTCACTCCTTGTGACTTATAATACCCAATGAAACTATATTGTTCTTCGATATTACTATTCTTTTTGCCTCATATCTCTGTTTACTGTCTCTATTTTGCATTTCCCTTAACTTTCTTTTCTTGCCTTGTGTACTACATGGAGTGTGGCGATTCAAACTGCTGCACATCGGTGCAAAGTTCTATGTTGAAACCAGTCAGGCAGTCAGTCAGCATAGCTTGAGTAAAACGTGCAATCAAACTGAATAAATGATTGCTATCAGATTATCATGATGAATTCAGCTTAACCAAAATGATGGGTGTATAGTACTCAGTATATTTTAATTCTTTTAGAAATAACATTATGAACTAATTTTGTACACTTGATACTAGAGAGAATTTGTTATAACCAACAGCTGCTACCATGACATGGTGGTGGTCCGACTTGAATATTGTAGTGACCCAACGAGCTACACACTGGCTGGAACTTCTATTCCTCCAGGTTCAACCATGACAAAAAAAGTCGTTTGGATAGCTATTAGATTAAAATCAGTTACCATCACAGTGTAAGCCGTTCACACTACGTTGTTAGTCTATGGGCGAAGTCGTACTGCTGACGGATAGGGATGTAACGACAGTAAGGTGTTTCCCTCGGATGATCAGCATGTTGGCTATCCTGTTCCTCTGCTCCCGAGAGCGGGTTAGAAAAGGTCGACCAAGACTTATCTTGTGGTGGCCAATAGCCGACAGTTGTATCTTAATACGGACACAACTCCAAAAGCCATCTGAAACAGGCCGTGTGTGACCGGCCTCAAGCAGTTATCCTCTGCGCTCTGTGGTCACGCTACACTAGTGCTCTTTCTGTTCCAGCTACTCCAAGAAAAAATCAATTTCCACGATGTGGAGAGCTGGAAGGTAAAAACCATCCCCACACAATTCCATAGCTAGAATTAATAATGCAGAGCTGGAGTTGCAACTAATTACGTAGTAACGTGAAATTCCACTCAGACGATGAACATATAAGCAAAAAACAGAGGAGTGAATTCAGAAATTCTAGTCATTTAGCCTAAGGAGACATTCATGCTTATAAAACTCAGTATCACACTTAAAAGAACAACCAATAAGTTTACAATGATACGTTTAGTAATCAAACAAAAACGAACCGAAAGCAAGGGGGCTCTTTAGGTTAAACATACTATAATTTCTCTGCTGTGGGTAACTGAGTGACTGACTGGTTTCAACATAGAACTTTGCAGCGATGTGCAGCAGTTCAAGTTGCCACTTTCCCTCCATGTAGCACACAAAGCAAGAGAAGAAAGTGAAAGAAATGCAAACCAGAGACAGTAAACAGAGATATGAGGTAAAAAGAATAGTTATATCGAAGAACAATATAGTCTTATTGGATACTATAAGTCACAAGGAGTGGATGCATCTGCGCCGCCATTAAGAACGATTTTCAGTCATATCACCAATTGTCTCCAGCTTTCATTGGTTTTTACTGTCCCAAGGACGCCCAACCAGGAAGTCTACATCTTCCTACTTGGCTTAATCTAACTGTTATGGATTTCATTGACTGATGAAGCTATGTTTTGGTTTGACCACCACTGGCTCTTTTCTGCTGTCTGTTAATTACTGTGATCTACTTAAATCTCTTGATAAGCCAATTCTCCATTCAATACAGAGTGCTGAGTTTACCTTCTTTTACATTGTTTGAGTTGTTCAACTTAGTTTCTCAAATTATATAATATACATACAAATATTTTAAAAGAATTTAGAATTTTCACCATATATTTATCAAAAAAGGGAGGACAAACACCAAGAGGACAGTAGCACGCTTTATAGACAACTGCATTATGTAAAATAAGATATTGAGGACTCTATACTGTACGCAAAATACTGCTCAAAGTGAAATCATTGTTACTGCACTTCGCATTTTCGATTCAGTCAACTTTAGTTATAAGATGCATATCCATTACTATGTGAAGTGAAGCTCGCATAGGGTCTCGAAAGAAAACTTAGTTTTTATTCACTGTTAAATGTTGACTTTGTTCTATTGTGTCATATTTCGTAGGAATCTTTCTGTGGAGAAGGTACTATGAATCTGACCTTTAAGTCTAGGCGGTGATGTAATATAATACCAATAACTGTAACTCATTTGGTGAAAGACATTACCAAGCCTAATACACGAATTCGATTGCATAAATTAGTCAGGAGAATTGAAGTTTCGCTGCTGTTAATGAGTCATATTACCACTTAACAAGAAGTAACAAGGATTAAATTAAGCTTTTAAGCAGAGAAAGTATTTTCTAACCTCATGTTTTAATACTTTTTCGTCAACGCGAGGAGATGAAATAGACATTCCAACTGTCCGTAGCATGTTCCAAAAAGTGTTGGGCTTCTCAGTGGATGTAAGCTGTAATGGGAATGAAAAATACTTTATGAGGAACAAGAAATGTGAAATTGCAAAGTTATTAAATAACTATAAAGGACGTGGTCTACAGTGTAAAACGGATAAAATGATGTCAACTGTTATGTGAATGTGAGTACTTTACTACTGGAAGCTTATAGTACAACGAAATTTTGTAGCCGGTAGCAATACACGATGACTAATACTACAAGCGTCGGTGGTATAGCGGTTAGGACGCTCGCCGACCATTCACATGGTCTGGGTTCGGCCCCCGGCCGACGCACTCTTTTACCTCACTAAGCCAGAAATAAAAGCTGGTAAAGAGGAAAGGTTGGGCATGAGGCTAGAACCCCATCCTGTAAAAATAAACACTGCTACAGAAACTTCAAGCCAACTAGCTTGAAGCCCTATGTTCCACTGGGAACGTGAAGGAATGAAAAATACTACAAGCACCAGGCAGAGCGTCGAACTAATTATTGGTACAATTGGGTACCGACCCAATTTATTATATTCCATTTCTCCATATCAAGTAGAAAATAAAAGGGGAGACAATAGAGAGGTTATTTTATAATCACAGGTCGTGGAATACTAAATGATAAAGTAGATAATAATAAGGAGGAGGATGTAGCACCTGGACAACTGTGGTCGAATCTGAGCTGTATTGTCTAGTGTCTAACCGCAGTTTTATTTAATTACACAGACCCTAGACAAGCTAGCATAGACGGATAGCTACTGACTTTATGAACTGGTGGCATACCTTGTATTCGCTGCTCTTAACTTTCTCGAAACCCACTTTTGCTTTACTCACATAGCTTGAGGTAGACAATAGCTTACAGCTGGTTAAATGAAGTTCTAAAGTTAAATTGTTGAATCTTCTTACAATCTTATAAGTCTCATATACGAACTGTTTTGTTTCATTACTAATAATCGTAATTCAACTTTTCCACTGAATGAAATCCAGCTTTTGAGAACTTGTCCCTATAAGGGGATCAAACATGGCTATTTTAACTTATCATCTACAGTATTTCCTTCTTGAAGATAATCAGATAATCGAAGCCGAGTCACTGGTGTATATTGAAATTAGGAGACTGATATTAAATAACGGTGAAGGACCCTTAACAACTTGTCTATCTATCACCTCGTAAAATGTATTACAAGTCTTTATTTGAAAGACCTTGCAGAAAAGGCTCAAAGCTATGCAGTTCAAATGCTTCAGTAATAGCCAGAGGGAAGAATAAATTACTTAGCAATTGTTTGTACTGTAGAGTTATAAGGTCCAGTTAAGCATATAGCAACCGCGTAGGGAAGCGTCGACTTAGTTATTATAACATCTACTCTAATGAAGTGTCGCTTGGATGAAAGTTGGAACGAGTTCTACCATCACAACTTGCCTGCGGCAGATATCCCAGTAATGATCAATTTCGCCACAAACAACATTTCCTAGGAACTGACCACTTAAAAAGGCAAATCTGTACGAAATATATTTGATTAAAGCATTACAAAAATAACTAGTATCAGAAGAAAAACATTAACACAGAAAGATTATGTCGAATGTATGATACGATGATGTTAGGTTACCTCACATTCTATAGCTTAGTGCCTACACACGGGAAGATTTTTTAGGGTATTTACCATTTATTTGATGCAATAAACTTGTAGTTTGGAAGTGCCCTACTGGATGCAAATGTTGCTTGACATATTAATCTAGGTACTCTTAAGACGATAAGAGAGTGGTAAAAGGATGCAAAGTTTGACACGATATGGAAAAATACCGACTACAACAAAAGTCTTACCTTCATACGAGCTTCAAATTGCAATTGAGCTAATCTTCGCCGCTTGACCAAGATCATATCAACAGTTTGTAACAGTCTTTTTTCAGCCGTACGTATTTCAGAGTTAGAAACTGAGAGAGCGAAGTAAGTCATGCAAGAATATGGGTAGCTGACAGCACCAAAGCCAGACAACAAGGCCATTATAGTAACTCCGATTACACCGATCCTACCAATACACTGCTCTAGAAAGACAATTCCATGTTTGCCACTTAGAATAGGAAAAGACGTTCCAACTTTCCAGAAGACGTACAAATAAGCGGTCGTCAATATAAATGAGAAACAGAGACGAAATGTGTTTGTGGGTGGGATAAATCGTAAGCTCTTGCTGAGATAGAATGATATGTAAAAAGGAATAACAATAATAACATCTAGTAGTATTGTGAAAAGAATAAATTGCCAATGTATACGCCTGGATGAGGCTTCCAAAACATCAAGTATTTCAAATATTACAAGTTCAAAAACCGTGCAAGACAATGAGAAGGTAAGAGAAAAAATTAATACAACGACAGTATCTTTAACTTCATAATCACGAAACAGCTGACGCAGAAAGAAAATCCATCCTCCAATGAAGAAAGCGACTTGCGAAAATAGTAATGCACATGAGTCCAGGAAAAGGCTCATAATGTGCGCGTAACCTTGAAAAACTAAAACACACATAAAAACATATTTACAATCCAGATTTTTAAAACATGTGTCTTTTTTTCTCTTAATTTAAAATATGGAAAAATGTTGTGGCCACTTTTCATAGCGCGCGATTTGATGTATGTGTATACTATGCCGAGTGATCGGAAATGGATAATGTAATAAATGAAGATAATGAGAGTCTAGTGGATTCTGCGGAAGATAATTTGTTGTGTGACAGATATGGCTTCCGTGGTGGTCAGCAATACACGCGGCCGGAAGAGTATGTTATATCTTATATGAACAATGCAAATATTACTTTTTAATTGGTGAGGTAATGTAGCATTTTTTCCACGAATTAGGGTGGAACATTCTAATGCTTGAGAACTTAATACATTATTGTGATGCCACGATTTTCATTGATTATCAAACAGTGTTTAAAATGAAGTGAATTCACTTCATATGAATACTCATATGTGAGCTACATGTAGATAGCCCGTCTACTGTTACTTTTCTGTGTAACATATCTAATTATTTATGTACCGCAAACATTTTCAATCTTTTTTATGAATAAACTGTAGCCTCATTTGTTTTCGGTTCCATCATATATCTGAAATAATGATAAGCTTGATATTACTGCTGTACTTTGCTTCATAGTTTTCCATTTTAATTTATGATACGTGTTTGTAGTCATGCTTAATAACGTATGTAAGTAACAGTCTAGTGGCCCAAGTCCAACACTCCAAACCAAATAAGAGAACACCTTTTAGGTTAGACTGCAAATGATATATTCAGATTTTTTTGTTGAGGATAGTAGGCTTCGACATAGAACTTGGCACGAGTGCAGCAGTTCAAGTTGCACAATAGTAGGCTTCGAGCATATATTGATCCTTTTCCAATATGCTCCTGTGCTTTTCTGATCCCTTCTTGAACGATTCTATTGAGGTTGCAGTCAGCACTTCTTATGGGAGTCGGCTCCAAGTGTTTATGATGGTGGGAGAACCAGTGCTGCTTAGTGATATGGTCCCTGGGCATTTTAACTCCTGCTATTTCCTCTGAAATGTCCTAACGTCATGGGAGGAAAAATAAAAGATAGGCTGGGTCCATAGTCACTTTTTAAAATTCGAAACATTTAATGAGATCTCTACCTACGACATAACAACAATAATAAGAGATTCAAAATGTTAGTTCTTTCCTCGTATAAGTTAGTCATACCAGGAATCATACGTATGACTTTACTTTGAAACCTTTTTAGAATGTAAGGGAAGATTAGCAAGTTGTTCTTGACTCCAGAACTTTCGAATTTCATGGGAAGTCTTGTTTGAGTCACTTTATCCAAAGCTAATGTTGAAATCTATGAGGACGTCGATGGGTTTCTTGCTGTCCCTGGATTTGACCCAGCTTTCCTTTACTGTATTATTTTTCAGATATAGAGGTCTTCCTAGAGGCCATGTTGTGTTCAGGACAACAAGTTATTTTTTCCGGTTATATCATGACGGCTTTCTTAATTATTTTTCCCACAACTAATTGGCCTGTATTTTGAAGCACAGTGTCTAGACCTGTCTTGTGGATGGGCGTTACCATGGCCTCTGTAATCGCGTGGCAACACTCCATTTGACAAAATCGCAGTCTATCGGCCGACCATGAGAGCTCCCAGCTCCTTGAGAAGCCTCAGGTGAAGGTCCTCGGGCTCCATCGATTTCCTTGTGTATAGTCTAGTGTGAAGACTCTGTAGAAGTAGTCTGCAATGTTTTCATCTTTCCCTGGTTCTTATCGATTGTGTCGGTATCATCAGTCACGTTTTGGATTCCGTTGGATGTCTTATTTCTGAAGTTCATGTACGAAAATGTTTTCTTGGGCTGTGCCATTGCGTTTTGTGCTAAATGTATTTCGAACTTCGACCGTTATTGATGAATTCATGCCATAGCTTTATTTATAGCTGGCCCCTGACGTCGCAAGCGTGATAAACACGTTCCAGTATTCGTGCTTATACCCAATTAGACAAGTATGTGTGTGCAAATGAGAACAGTCCGATGAAGATTAGTGAAAATGTTTAGGACACCAAAGGTGCTAAGGAATAGAAGTTCTTTCATCATTATGAACAACTTCAAGTCATGTCAAAATTCCCTTCCTCATATAACTCATACACTTGTTTATGACGATACTGAGCCATTAAACGTAGTCACTCATTTAAAGCTAAATATTAAATTCTACTTTCGAAGCTGGTGAAATCATTTCCCTAAGTTGTATTCTTCAGGTTTCTTTTTGAGTTTCATTGATATATCAACTATTAGAATATCTAATTTCACTGTTCTCTTTGAAGTGATGATTATGTTCTGACTGATGTTTATATGTCACAGTTACGGTCTTTTGGAAGAAGCACCGGTTTTCAACCATCAAGGTATATTTTTGAACTCTTCTTCATGTACTGAGGTCTAACCAACCAGTACTCACATTAGGTATAGATTCTTGCCTAATGTATACACCTTTTTAGGTTAAGTCACTGTTTTATTTTTACATTTTAATATGACTTTCCAATTTCGTTAATTAAATATGAAACTGCAGCTACAGGCTTCAGTTTGAAGTCATAAGATCCTATAGATACTGTGATGAAACTTAAGATCACCCACAATGTTGTCGCCTAATTAAGGCAGAGGCCTTTCGGATTAATAATGGTTAAATGATACCTGTAATCCCTTTGTGCTGAAATTCGTTGACAAAGTATGCGTCCGCATAACACGATACGATGGACAGTGGGTAGCTATCGTCGGTTACTAGTGTTGTAAAGGTATAAAACATGGCTTTTAAAAGTGTAGTGTGATTATTATGGATATTGAATGACTACTACTTTCCTAACATCGCTAGAATCACCCTTACAGAGATGTATATGGTGTGCAAAATGAGGGATATATTTCGTCATTCACTAAGATCACGAAAAATACCCATTTATTCATAAGTAAAAACACAGCTTTTTGTTCCACGAAGAAATTTCTTTTCAACGACTTCATTTTCAAGCTGTACAGTCGTATTTATATTACAGTAAAGGTTATTAAGTGGCACTAAATAATTGCTCAGTCAATATATATATATATATATATATAATAAGAATATATATATGTATATTGACTGAGCAATTATTTTCTTTTCCTTCACGTTCCCCAGTGGAACATAGGGCTCCAAGCTAGCGGCTTGAAGTTTATATAGCAGTGTTTATTTTACAGGATGGGGTTGCTAGCCTCATGCCCAACCTTTCCTCTTTACCAGCATTATTTCTGGCTCAACAAGGTAAAGGAGTGCGTCTGCCGGGAATCGAACCCCGGACCATGTGCATGGTCGGCGAGCGTCCTAACCGCTATACCACCGACACGAGCAATTATTTAGTGCCACTTAATAACTTTTTCTGTAATATAAGTACGACTATACAGCTTGAAAATGAAGTCGTTGAAAAGAAATTTCTTCGCTGAACAAAAAAACTGTGTATTCACTAAGATGTCGGGTATATATGTTGCCAATGTCCAGTTTCACCAAACTAGCGATGCTGGCTGAGGTATTATTTCATTTGTTGGAGATTTTCAGGGTGATCAGATCAAAGCATAACACCACCATGTATTTGCTTGAACAAGTGTGTGTTCTCTCGCTGGAGTTTTCAGAATGCAGTTTTTTGGGGACTGGATAACATGGCATCTTCCAAGTTCTTAACACTCTGACTAACCTTCATCTAATTGTTCGCTCTTCCATATACATTTATTTATAGCAGTATCATTCTATTTTTTATTCTTTTTCTTTTTGTGTACTGTTTCAAATTACGGCAAACTGATCTAGTGCATTTTTGTGTAGAGTTCTACGTTGGTTTGTTTATTTGTTTGCCTGTATGGTGCATACCCTTATTGATTAAAAGAAGTTTTTATAGAACCTTGTGTTGGATTAAATTCACTTTGGTTTGTTTGCTGTAATCACGGCAAACAGTCTGTTCTAATTATAATCTCTTTGTCAATTAAAATTTTAGATTATATGGGTTGTTAAATGTTAAAATAAATAAATTGTAGTTTCTCTACAGGTTTGTTGTCTTCGGTCGTTAAAAGCGTACTTCAGCTATGTTTTTTTTTTTTAAATTTTGCATATTTTTCAGAGAAGACCGTGTTCCTCTGGAAGTGTTACGTTCACGTGAACTGAAATGGCGTAAAATGTGCTCCAATTGGAGTTTATGGTATTTTAAATATCATCAAAAGCTGCGTGATCGATGTCGTAAGGGAATTCCCGATTCATTTCGTTGTGAAGCTTGGCAACGACTCTGTGCAAGCCCGATGGTACTTGTTCAGCGGCAACGGATAACATGTAATGACCAAATGGAAGCACAAACAACACCAGCCTCGATAGGCAGTAATCAAAACAATAATCATAACAGTAAACACAAATTTCCAAAGAGTCGTGTCGGCACATTATCAAATCAAACTAACTATAAAAGTCTCCAAACTATTATCACTTCTCCAAGTTTCCACACTAGTCAAGGGAAAGAAGACGATAGGTAAGTGTTAAGCTTAAATGATGGTTTTTTTTATTATTTTGTGTGTGATAATATATTCTAGAAGTATTTAAAATAACAAGCAAGTGAATCTTTTAAAAATTTGGTTAAGACAACTGAATATCATGGTACATTTTGTCGCGAATTGATATCAGTTAGACAACTATTGAAAATCAGAGAGTACTGGACAGCTGTTTCGTTCTATTTCGGGACTCTTCAGCAATACGCGCCGATGACCTCACCGCTAAGGACCGAACCCAGGACCTTCAGGTCATGAGGAGGATTGGCAGGAGTTAGAATTCATGGGCCATTGGATTTCCTCCCAGTAGCTGAATAGTCAATGTGGTCGCCTTGTAATCTGAATGTCCTGGGTTCGATCCCTAGTGGTGGGGTCATGGGTGGTGCATGCTGCGAAGAGTCCAAAACTAGGAAGAAAAAGCTGTTCAGTACCCGCCGCTGCTGGTTTTTAATGGTTTTTCAACTGATATCAGTTGCGATCTTTGAAATTATACCGTTTGTGCTTTGATACTCTCTTTGTGTGTATGTGTATGTGTGTGTATCTGTTGGTATTCTATTAGTATGTAATGCAGTGATTTTCATTTCTAATATTAGACACGCATCCAGCATTAATTCATTTTTGACCTATACATTAGCACTACTATAAATAATGTCTTCGTTGTCCCCTTGGAATTCAGTTGAGAAACTAATGATCATTAGTAATAGTAGTATTAGCATAGACATTAATAATGTCGATAAGATTAGTAATTATAATTGATGGTGATAATACTAATAGTGATCACGGATAACTTATGCGTGTTTTTGATGTGTATTCATTTCATTTGTATTCACAACCGTACTGCATTAATATGTTATATATATATCAGTATTATTTTAAAGCTTTTATGATTAAATTTGAAAGGTTACTTCGTGAATTTATTCAAACTGTGTAATAATAATCCATTATCTTTCTATGCTAAGCAAGTCACATTGAATAATCTATCTTTTACAGTACGATCATTGTACTGCTTTGGTGTTCCTTACTTAGCTGCTATATGAGTATTGTACTTGGTTATTATTTATTATTATTCCCTTGGGTTCCGAGTGGAACATTGGGCTTCGGCAGCATATCTGCATTTCACCCTGTTCTCTCTCTTCGTCATTTTTGGCTGGCTCCACGGTTGCCTATAAGCTTTCGATTACTCCTCACATGATTTCGTCCATGTCACCCTCGCACCTACGCTCAACTCATCGTTTCCCATTCGGATTCCACTAGATAGTTTGGCGTGTGGTATCACCTATTGGTCTCCTCAGCGTTAATCCAACCCAATAAGTAATTGGTTGGTTCGTTAACAAAGTTCCTTGTTGCCTGTCCTTTCTGACTGACTCGTTGTCTGATCTTCAGTCTGGAGTGGAGGCAGCTGTTGGTGAAAGTCTGCAGTAGCCTACTGGAAATGCTTTTAGTGACGCTGGCACCAAGTCTCTTAAGCAATCACTGACTTGATATCAGTGTTGAGTATCTAAATCTTGTTTTCTTTATGCCAAATGCAGTAGATTTCCACAGGGATTTCAGATTAATAAAGGTCTGTCTTTCCTTTACGATCCTGCCTTTGACATCTTCATCCGTGCTGATTGTGTACCTACTAGTTGACTTGAAATTGGGTTATGATTATAAACGGGATCTTTTGGATTATTTGTTAATGGTATTTAGTGTGTTATAATTATAGATAAAGATAAGTGGTATGTAGAGTGTGAAGATGTGGCTGTGACTGGCTTAAGCACTCGACTTTCAGCCAATGGGTGGGTCCAGGGTCAGAGTCCTGTCCCACTTACTTCGGTTTGTGTAACTGGGTAGTATAATCAACTGTTTGTCTGTCTGTCTGTTTTCGGCATAAAACTTTGCACTGATGTGCGGTAGTTCAAGTCGCCACACTCCATGTAGCACACAAAGCAAGAGAAGAAAGTAGAAGAAATACATAATATAGACAGTAAACAGAGGTGTGAGACAAAGGAATAGTAATAACGGCGAACAATATAGTTTCATTGGAAATCATAAGTTACAAGGAGTGGATGCATCTGCGCTATCATTGAGAACGATTTTGAGCCATGTCACCAATTGTTTCCAACCATTGGCTTTTACCGTCCCGAGGACCCCAACCAGCAAGCTAGTCTACATCTTCCTACGTGGCTTAAGCTAACTGTTGTGGATTTCATTGACTGGTGCCACCGCTAGCTCTTTTCCAGCCTGACCCTATATCAGCTAACATTTCCCGTCGAGGAAGGCGATGACAAGGCATACGTAACACATGTTCCAACCATCTCCGTCGATGTAGCTTCACGGCGTCGTCGATTGATTCCCCCTCCTTACCTAGCACTCGATGCCTAACCTCAATATTGCTCACCTTATTATACCACTTCACGCGGGAGATAGAACGCAGGCACCTATGACCGAAGACAGCTAATCTTTTCATGTCTTCCACTCTCAATGGCCAGACCTCACAGCCATAAAGGAGGACAGAGCGGACTGCTGAGCAGTACACCCTCCCTTTGGTCGATAGCTGGATATCACGTCTACGCCAGAAACGGCGTAAACTGGCATATGCGAAACTAGCCTTTGTATCCGTGCTGAGATTTCGTCAGAGATCAGCCCGTTGGGATTGATGGTACTTCCAAAATAAGTATAATCAACCCTCATACATTAAGTGTGACTCATAACCTGGAGCATGAAAAACCTGTTCCGGGAACTGCGTTCAAACAGCAGCGTATAGAGTAACATCTCTGTAGGAAAATTTGCTGTAGAAGAATCTACCACAAGAGGATGACAATTCAGCAAAGATAATAAAGATCAGAGCATCCCTAATACAACAGATAGATTTTCTATAGTTTGATTTGTGAGGGTTAGTTATGTTTTTACGAGTTGATCACGGATTGATATCAGTTAGAGAATCACTGAAAACCAGCCACACAGGGAGTACTTGACAGCTGTTTCATCCTAGTTTGGGAATCATTGGCAGTACCCACCTACCGCCAGGGTTCCAACACAGGACCTTCCGGTTACAAGGTAAGCTGGTTCGTAAACCATTGAGCTACTGGGACCCGACTCCTTAATGGCCAGCCCATGAATTCTAACTTCTACCAATTCGTGATTTAGCGCGACCCCAACCAATGTCATCAGTGGGACATCCATCCTCACACGTGACATCTGGTAAGGCCTGTCATTTTGCTAATTTTCGCAGTAATTCACCACAAAAAAAACAACAGATCTTCCCTTTCCAGTCGTGTTTTTCCCTCAGTATCAGAATTTTTACAACAGCATTGGTTTTTACGTTTTCAATAAACTTTTTTCCAATATTGTGCATATATATAACTAAAATTGCATTCTAATTTTAAACGGATCTACTGCTCAGCTCTTATTTACCTCTCTATACAGTCAGTATTGATGATTTGTATGTAGGCTTTCATATGGTATACATATTGTCTTGTGAGTAGTGCAAGTAGGATGATTATACCAATAAGATCCTATAATTTGAAGTACATTAATTGTGGACACATAAACACAAAGAGGAATTTTAAAAAATTCTTGTGTTTACCCGTTCCAAATGAAATTAACTCCATCCAAATTAATTTATTAGTTTATACTGATTTTATGACATTTTTTAAGAGTACCTGAATATTCCTGAGTAGTTTAACAAGAAAAATTATCAGAGAATAAATATAGCTACCTCTATGATCTAAAAATATCCCATTGCTCTTGAATCTTCAAGTCCAAAGTTATCCTATTGATGATTGTACTAGATAAAATAAATATTCGTATCAATAGTGTTCTCGAAATTTTTGAAGCATAAATTAGCAAAGACTCATTGGGCGTACAATGCATAGCGGGTGATGGTCAAGAAAGGAAAGCTTTGTACGCTTATAGGAATGTGTTGGGGATTATTACTTCCCAGCTGCTCACACCTTGGAAGCTGATTTATTTTTGGGGTTCAGAAGGAGCATTAGTGGTGAGTGATCTCAGAGCCCAAAGTGCAACTGTTTGAGGCTGGACACATACGACCTATTTGAGCTGGTTTTTGAGGTTGTGTCCGTATTAAAACATTACCGCCAGCCACTGATCGCTGCAATGTAAGTCGGGATTTGTGGTTTTCGGGATTGACCTTTTCTAAACCCCTACTGCCCCAGGACAGAGAGGCAGCATGACTGGCATACTGATCGCCTTATTGCTGTTACATCTCTATTCGTCAGCAGTACGACTTCGTTCACAAACCTAAAACATGGTATGAACAACCTAAACTGTGACGGTAACTGCATCTAATGTAATGGATATCGAAACGACCTTTCTGGCATGGTAATGTAATGGGAGAAGATAAGAGACTTGGTAACGGACGTTTATTAAGCAAAAACACGTAATTTTTATAAATTCTTAGACACATAACTCGGCTAGGTCAAAGGACAATAAATTGTTCTGATTGGTTGGCGATTGGCCCAAGGTTAAGCAAGTTGTCCAATGAGATTTTTTCATGTCTGCAACATAAACAATAAATCCAGATTTGAGGAATAAACACTCCTACTTCTGCAGCCGTTGACTTAAAATGTTGATTTCGATTTTGGCCGCTTTCTATCAATCTGCATCACACCACACTAGGACCTACAGGGGCGTTAGTTCCATGCAGTGTAGCTTGTTGGGTCGTCATGATATGCAAGCCAGATCACCACGTCAAGGTAGCAGCTATCGGTATGGATACCATACATGCCTTACCCTATAAAGTAACGTTTTCCAAGATAAGGTTTTTACGAAAACTAAGCACATGTTAAGTTTACTTTTTTGGGAAGGAAGTTATGAATTTGCGTTTCCGCTTTGATGTAAACTGGAAAGTAGACACAAAAAATATTGTCAAGGTTACTTCACTAATTCAGTAGTAAACAGTGTGTTACTGGATGACTGGAGGCAATCGGTAGGAAGCTTTGGACCTAGATTCCCTGCTTGTTGGCGCTCACCATTGAGAAAA